ACCACCACACCAAAGAGAGAGATTGACTGGATTGCTTCTCGTTCAATGGCTTGATAAATTTCCTTCTGTTTTAGACTAATTTATCCTGTTAAACAATCTTACTGTGGCTTTTTTACCAGACAGCAAGATGATTTTGATGCTCTGAGAGTGACTATATTGACTGCTAATCCTCGACTTCCAATTCAATCAACGACTGGAGAGCCGCAGTAGGTCCTTACAGATTATGAGTACTGGTTTCCCATCCAAATATTTTCAATAAGCATCAAATCAGGTTTTCATTTTCATGCGAGGCATTCTCAGATTCTAACAGATTGTCATTTCAAGTGATATGATGCAGACTCAGCGAACTACCAGTGCAACTTGTACTATGAACGGGTTTCTCTCAGACATTCCTAAGTTACATCTGCCACAGATTAAAGTTATTAGCAGTCTACACTTCAGTGGTCTTGTTTCAACACGTTTAACGCCTCATTGCACAAATTTGTGTCCACATTTCATAACACGCTTAACTTTTGATCACGACGTTAACTTTGCTGTTCATTTGGAAGCTATTAACTTCTTCAAAGACATTCTCAAAATCTGAAAACTTTGGAATTACTCCATGCTTTTAATTACAGTTCCGATTAGGATTAAGCGTGTAACGTTTGAGTTACTGTCTTGAGTGGGTGAACGCTATCCAGACTTCAGCACGTCAGCTGTAAGGGTTGCATCCAGCAGATACGTTACACACAGGATAGAAGACACCATCTATAAATCAGAGGAGACCAGGCTTCAATTATCACTTTTCATGTTATCTGCGCTTTTCCTACTTTTAAATTTTGCTTCTTATTTTGATGTTGGTAAGATACTGCCATGTTAGTCACTTTAAATCTTGTTGGTTTGTGTCTTTTGTGAAGACATTTTGATAAAGTTTATTATTGATTCTATTTTTAAAGAAAATGTTACACAGCCTGTGTTATTAAGTTCAAACTTCTGTTGCATGTATGATCACACCAGGTAAACTGGGGTTCGAAATAGCAGCCAATCATCGAAACACAGAGAGTGAAAAGGTTTTCATTGACAAAGTCTGACAGTCATGGACGCTGTCAACATGCAAATACAGAATCAAACACATCACTACGATGGCACGCCACACAGAATCACACCACAACACACACACACACACCACAGAACAACGGGCTGCTGATTTGTGTGACTGGCAACCATTCAGTCTAGAGTTTGTATGTGTATTAAAAATGTACCATTTATTTATAGTTATATTTTTCATTTCTGCAAACAGTGAACTTGTTTCCCAGAGTTTAAGTCAACACCATCAGAGAAAGCCCTAACACACAGGAAACTGTTCTCCTATTCACAACACGCTGGTGTTTTGTGCCTTTATCTTTCGTTGCTATCAGAAATATACGATAGAGGCGCAATCTTTTGCATACAGAAGTCCGCGTTTCTCACATGTTTGTCTGAGGGGTGTTATTTTAAATCTTCACATTGGTTTGCATGTTTCCACCCGCATACTCAGAGACAAATATCTGCAGCTATCTCTCAATCAATATTTATGAAAACAACATCACATACATTATGAAAAAATCGTGGGGTGTTCGCGCTGCTCTGTTATCTGAACTGTATTGCAGGACCTCTCCTGGTGTTTGTGAAGGGTAAGTCAGTGCTGCTTGCTTTTGGCCATGTCTGGTAAGTGTTTTCTCCTGCTCTGGCATGATAATGGGTATGAAAATAAACGAAGAGCAGGGGGGCAAACAAGTTTGCATGGGGGGTGGGTGGGTCAGATTGTAATACTGGTGCCATGCAACGGTCGGCATTTGGGGGTATAAGTTTTTTGGAATCAGTTTATATTTGATCTTTTTTTTTTTTTTTTGTCTGTATTTATGTTATTAATGCAAGTTTTGTTTGCAGGACGTTCGTGTGTGATGAGTGGACAGAAGGCAGAGCAGTAGAGAAGAAACGAACGACTCTGCATGTCACTGCCGGTCTGGATGCTGAGGTGATGAAAGGGATTAGGATCAATTTGCAGAACCTTGACTGTGATTTGTTAAAGTCACTTGTCTTGATCTACTAGAATCTGCCACTGGAGGCCTGAGCTAAAATAGCTTTATCAGAGAACATTCAGGACGTCGTGTGAGGTCCTCTCAGACATCGCGATTCATACGTTCATGCATGCTGTTATCTGTGAGTAATGATATGAATGATGTCAGCATCGATCATCGTGTACCTTGATCTGGATACATGATATGGACAAAAATCCACTCACAGTAAAAGTGTTTTAATTTAATTTAAAAATGCTTAAAATAACTTTCACATAGAGTTTTCCAGTTTAATGCACTATTATACTTCAACCTCCAGCAGTGTTGTACGGAAAATGTTGAACCTTTCAAGTGTATTTACTCAGCTACAGTTATTGTTACTGTAATCAGATTTTCGCATTTATAAAAAGCATGTGATGTCAGCTTATAGAAGTATGATGTAGTGTTTTAAATCTATAGCTACAGTGATAAAGTGTATAGTAAGCTAATAATAGTAATAATAATTTTTGCAAGACCTTTCACACTACAACAGTAATAAAGCAGCAAGAACATAAATTATACAGTACATGATCTATTCTTGTGCCACTTTACTTTTAATCAATACTTTTTGTAGAGAAATATTTTATATAAATTAATACAGGACTTTTATTTGTATGAGTATTTTTAACAGCTGTTGGTTACGTTTTACTTCTTGGGTATAGGAATCTGAAACTTTCCTCCCTCACGAGGTCAGTGAGTTGAAATATCTTTGTGTTTTATGGGCTCAAGACGGCGGTGTCCTCATCCCAGCAATCAGGATTTACTGTCCGACGAAGTGTCTTGACCAGTCGACGCTTGCTGTTGAATCTTTAGAGCGAACGTACAGTAGTGTTGATGAGTTGTTCGATTTGTCTCCTGAGGCAGGTGAGGAAACGGCCAACAGGTAAAACAAAAAGCAGCTGAAGAGGAAACAAATATGCCACGCTCACCCCGCGGCACGTCGACCACGAGCTAGAACGTAAAGTGAATGCGAACCGCTTGACGCGGGAACGGAGCTTTTCATGCCATTTGGTGTTGAAGCGTTGCACAATGTAGAGCTACAGAATAAACTTAGCTGGCAGCTCACATTCACACACGATTAAAGGAAGATTGGCAGATAGAAGGACTCTGCCGAGGCCCGCGACCCCCCCCCCCCCCAAAGTCCGCTCACGTGCCAGAACTGTCTCCAACTTTAAGATGGAGCAGCGAGGGAGAGATTCAGGGCCCCCAAGGAAATCAGGGTGTCATTATTTGGGGCCAATGCATTCAACAACACAGAACAGAGAGGATCAGTTTCCCGCCCTCGCCTGCAGACACTCTGCACGTGTTTTCTTCTCATGCTCTCTTCCCGGGACAAACTTTTATCCCCCCGTGCGTCAGCTTGCGGGTCCTCGGCTGCGCGAGCGCGGGCCGCAATCCCGCTGCTCTGAATCAGCTCTGAGCATCGACACCTTAACTCTTAATGGCGGAACAGACACTGAAAATAGACAGTAACCTCTCCCCTGGATGCACAAACATGATCTAATTAACTGGAGGAGAAGTTATTGATGTGTTTCAGAGCTTTTAATTAGACGTTTAGTGGCATCTTCCCTCAGAATGACAAACTAATGAGCCGCGATCCAAAAAATTTTATCCTGCTCTGTTCATAACTGTCTCTTTAAGGACTTAATTGGACTATACGTTTTTTCTGGGTGGCATAAAAAATACTATAAAAGCCAAATATGATCCCAACTTATAGACAGATAGAAAAGGTGCACGTGGAAGTGATGAGAAAAACAAATTAGAGGTGCGTTGGTGAGAATTTTCCCCTCAGTGGCTAGTGACCGATCACACTGGACCAAAATAGCCTTGTCATTTTGCAGTAATCATGGTCGCTGCTAATTTATTCCATTACAATGTTGGTGCCAAACCGCGGGCTTTTTAATGTGAAATTAACGCCTCGGAATTAGCCGCTGAGCATTTGGAGACATTGGGCTGCGCAGCTTGACGCGTCTCTCTGCGGCAGCGAGGACGCAAACGTCTGTCATTTGGCTCGGCGCGCAGATCTGAGCAGGTTGCGAGAGAGGGAGAGAGGGAGAGAGAGAGAGAGAGAGAGAGAGAGAGAGAGAGAGAGAGACTCAGCTCGGTGTGATCCGGCTGCTTCAGTCTTTATTGGCCCCGCTGATAGAGGATCTCTGCATCCCATCATGCCCCTGCGCGCGGAGCTCGGTGTGGGTGCAAGGTGCAGATGAGCCTGTCCGACACTCGGAGCGAAGCCCGGTGCCTCACCAGTGTGATGGACAGGGCAGGTGGAGAGCTTCATGGAGGCGGTTTGGGCGCGGGGAAATGTGGCTCTTCACTCCGTCTTTTATTTATTTATTTATTTTTTTTTACCTCTCCCGCATTTCTACGTCTATTCTGGGATTTCTATCTTTTTAGATTCTTGGGATTTCGCAATTGATCAACTTTCTAACTGAATAAAGTGACCGGCACGGCTGGAAAAAAACTGGTAAAAAGCAACTTCACACCACTGGTCTCACTGAGAAGCTTCCTGATGTTTTCATTTATTCAATGTTGTTTATTTTTCCAAGCAATTAAATATCGAACACATCGATACATATTAGTGATCAATAAATTGCGTGCTTACATGTAAAATAACGTCACACATTTTGATCAGAAAGAAGAAAGACATGAGAAATAGATATTATTATTTATGGATATTAAAAGACAGGATGATTATTTTTATTTCCAGAAAATATTAATTAATATTAGAAAATAAAAATCTCCTGATTCAGGTAATTACCCCGGTTACATCTGCTGCCTATATTTGGGACCTATACAAAGGCTATAGATACATTAAAATAAATAAGTATATTTATTATCATTATTATTATCATTATTTTAATTATTATTATTATTATTATCATTAATAGATATTTTCCAATAATGAATGAAAACACACTCACCCCCTGCTCCTGTGCACACGGTCCAGAAGGATGTGAGGAGAACGGGCAGGATGAGCTGCTGCATCTTGGATCGTCTCTGTCTCAGTGAGTGAAGGCAACAACACAATGACTTGTTTTTTCCCAATGTGGTCGCATTCTTGCAGGGGGTCTTATACTTATCTATCAGCATACCCCGACAGGAAAGGAAGAGTGGCCCCTCCCCCTTCGGGCATCGCCTCCAATAAAGCTCTCCACTGATAAGAGCTCCAACAGGAGGGGGGAGGTTGGGCCCCATCAATGGGCTCCTGGTGTGCAGGAGCCAAATCTAATTCGATCATTACCATCATGGTGTCGATAGGCGAACACTTCCTGATGGAGTGAGTGGGAGCTGTAGCACAGGGGGAAATCAGATAGAGTTAATGATCAATGGGGGGGAGGGTTGCTCCACAGGTAAGCCAAGGTGGCCCCCAGGAGGTTAAAGAGAGCGACGAGAGAGGGATATTATGATTAGTGGACTGTAAACCTGGTGATCTTCATTTACATGCGAGATTAGAAAAATCACAGTACACACACTTACATCACATTACATCACATTACATCACATTACAGAGTCTGTATATAAAAACAACATGTAAGTGAAGGTGGAGCTGATTATGACTAATTCATGTACAGTGGGGTTAATCTATAATAATGCTTCATATTATATGAAACGAACCTGTGTTTTATTTTGAAAGGTAACTACAACTGTTAATGGATGCAGTAAAGAAAAAGAGAGACATATTTAAGACATATTTAGTATCTTATAGGAATAAGAATTCAAAATAAAGTTTTGTGGGTTTAAACACACACACACACACACACACACACACACACACACACACACACACACACACACACACACACACACACACACACACACACACACACAGATATCAGGTGAAATTTTTAATAGGGTTTATTTTCCAGCCCAGTTCACCTTGTCCAGTCAGTGCAAAGCTTTGCAAAAAAAAGTCAAAATCTCTCCTGAACTTTTCCACTGAAAAGTTGGAGCAGTGTAGTTGGAGCAGGTGGAGGCCCAGAATACCCTCGGTCTGAATTATTGATCATGCTGAGTGAGTACAGTGAGGGACACTGGCAGGAGTTTTTCCTATAAAAACATGAATTAGCTTGCGTTGCTCTTCTTGAAGCAGCAATCTGAAAGTCTGAAAAACTGCAGCTGGGCATGATGGTGTGTTAAAGTCTTGTCTTTGTATAGACTGTGTGTGTATATGTGTGTGTGTGTGTGTGTGTGTAGCATTAGAGTGTGAGTTACACTTTCACCCCCTTTTATTTTCCTAAATAAATGTCACCTTCAACACTGTTCAGAAAGGAAACGACTGTTGATTCATTTGAGCGAGGAACTTTAGTCATTCATCACCAGAGAACAGGAAGAAATGAAATGATTCATAACAATGAAAATTATGCAACACTCTCTTGATTTGATTGGCTGAAAGTGCCGGGCTTGTTGCAGAAGTACTGTTCCGTGTTCTTCATGATGGAAAAGCTCCATCTGGTGGACAAATGGAAGAACTTCATGTGTTTCCCCGGGCTGGAACAAGTATTCAGATGGTCTCATTAAAACCTTATTTTAACCAATAACACGAGCGGTGAAAAGTCCAGTATTTACCTCTGAAATATAGTCAACTAAAAGCATAAAGTAGAATAAATCTGAAATACTTAAAGTAGAAACACCTGAGTAAATGATAGAAATTGTACTTGTACTTAAGTAAATGTACATAGTGTTTTTCCTTGTCTGGTTTTCAGAAACCTCAGCCAAATAATTCCGAACACAAAATCACCAACACAGAGTATCTGAACTCAAAATATAAAAGTCTAAATAATAAACAAACAGATAAATAATAATAAATAATCCACTGGAGGATTTGATTTGAGGGTGTTTACATCCAAATCATACACGTTCACCTCTCCTGGTACTTTAGTGCTGCAGGTTGTTCCATCAGCTTTGACCTCTGTCTGTTCAGGTTGTGAGTCTTTGTTCTTGATTTCTACACACTCTGTCTCCATTTGATCCAGTCCCTGTGATGAGACAAAACGATCCATATACCTTGACACTTTGAGTTACAAGTAAATAAGCAGACAGGGAAACTGATCCATGATATAATCTTTTATTTTAACCCATGGGATTTAACTTTTACAGTGCATTTCTTTACAACAATTATTCATTAAGTGACAGGTTTTAGCCACCACTACAGATCAGATAACTATGTATGTTACATTTCTGAGCTCCTCTTAAAAGATTCTGACTTCATGAACACCTTGTGATAAAATCCCAAATATTAGTTGAAGGAAACCAGACAGGTTAAAGGACCAGTGTGTCGGGTTCAGGAGGATCTATTCAAATGGAATATAATATTCATTATTATGTTTTAATTAGTGTATAATCACCTGAAACTAACAATCGTCATGTTTTCATTAGCCTTGAATGAGCCCTTCATATCTACACAAGGAGCGGGTCTTCTTCCACGGAGCCCCGCCATGTTTCTACAGCAGCCCAGAATGGACAAACCAAACTCTGGCTCTAGAGAGGGCTTTTTGCGTTTTTACGCCACCGTAGTTTCTCCTATGCACTTGGAAAAGGAGGGGTGGGTGGTGGTGGTGTTTAGTTGGCTGCAATCTGCAACCCCGCCACTAGATGCCGCTAAATCCTCCACACTGGCCCTTTAACTAATTCAGCGACATCCGATCGCCGACTGAAATGGTTAGCCTCAATATCAAACTGAACCACTTGTTAATCTTTAGTTGTCTCAGTGTTATTAAGCAGCTAACTATCTGTACCATTAAAACATACAGAGAGGTGGCCAATTAGAAACCTGCTGCCATCCATAAGAAAGAAAAAGGCTTTAAAAATAGACAAAACAAAATATGGCACTATTGTCTCAAGGAACAACCAGTAGACACAAACACATTTTTCAAAGGGGACTGTCGCCAAACGCCCCCAAACAGAACAAGAAACTCCAAGCACTTTGTTCAGTCTTTTCCCAAGCAGTCTCCACTGCCAGCTCCGAGGAGTCGTCGTCAGTCAGATGGACATCAAGCTTTAAAGTGGACATTAGGCCTCATTCTCAAGCGTCTCAGCAGAAAAAACCTTGAGGAAATTCTCTCTTCTCACATCACAGAATACCAACAGTACCTTCAGTTGACTTTTACTCACGAGAAGGAGACGTCACAGAAATCTGCAGTCTCTCGTCATCATCATCATCATCATCAGCACGTTCTCTTCCTCCTGACATGTCAAGCACACATCCCACAAAACAAACAACGCGCAGCATTGCATCGGTCTGTCCGTACACATCCCCCAGAACGTCTAATGTTGCAACATAGCTATACTGGAGAAAAGCATTGATAAAGACAGAACCACATTGACTGTGCATATACATAATTTTGAAAACACATTGCAGCAATGAACACATATACAACCCACCAAATGCACAAGAACATAAACTCGATCCAGTTACCCATTACATATTACATTCAGGCCTCTAAGAAAAAAGATGCGATGGCAGAGTAAACAGCAGATTTCTCCCTTTTGCTCAAGTTTGGTCTCAAATTCCCTCAAAAACACAACAGCTAGTAGTGCACAAAATAAGAATACAAAATTAGACTTTTAAATACTGTAGCAGCAATTCCTTTCTTTTGAAGTTGAAAGCCTCCAATAGTACAGGTAAAGGCTTTGGAGTTCCCGACACGTGGAAGGGTGAGCGATTGTCCTCTGAAGTGCGAGACAGTGTCTGTAAGGAGGGTGCAGGTGTTTGGTACTAAAGGTGGGTGGACAGGTTGGAGATGTGTCTCGGACAGGGCACCGCTCGAGGACCGAGCCGTGTGGAGGCAGCAGGACGCTGCGGCGCTCCAGGCTGAAAATGTCTTTGAACAGAAGGGGTTTGTTCTGTAGGAAAAACCTCCTCCGCTGACACGCCTCCATCTCAGACGTTCCCGTTCCTCTTCGCCACCTCCCAGACAGTCTCACAGTGCAAAGCGAGCCTCCCAAAGGGTAACAATTCCTCCTCATATTCACCCCCTCCTGCAGCCAAAACCACAGCAGGATGGGGTTTCAACGCAGCGCTCAGCTCATCCGTCCAAAACGAGCAGGACAGAGCCGAGGCGGGCCAAGCTACACAACGCTTCTCTCAGCTGGAGGCTGTGGCGATGGCCTTCTTGAGCTGCTGGCAGCGGATCTCGCGGGTGCGGGACTCCAGGAGCAGGTCGTGGCAGGTGTTGCAGACCAGCACCGGGTCGTACAGCTGCTGGTCTGGGATGGGCAGCTTCAGATGACAACAGTCTTTACAGAACACATTGCCACAGTTCCTGAAAACAGAAAGTTCAGATCATTTTTTTAGATAGATGAATAAAGAAAAACTGCAACTTCACATAAATCACAAACACAAATGAGGTGGTTGAGAAACAAATGCAAATAAAGATCCAGTTACATCTAAAATAGAATGAAATAAAACCTGAGAATAGAGACTAGTTAGATAGGACTCTAATGTGTGCTGTGCTGAATATATATTGTATAATTATAGAATTATCTTCTAACATACATATTAAGTTAAATAGACATTGCTTAAAGTACTTTTACATGATAACAGCTCTGGTAATTTTAAAGCAGTGTGTTGTAATGGACAGGACTTTATATGATGACTTAAAAAAACAAAAAAACAAACCTCGTCTTAAATATTCAAATCACTTACTGGTTTGTAATAAATGTCAAATACCAAATCTGTGATTTCAGGTACAGACTTAATACATTTCAAGAACCAAGATGCTTGGTGCATGAAAGTGGAGCAAGGTCAACAGTCCCATTCAAAAAAGGCATAAACATACTCAAAGGTGAAAACGGCAAGAAACTATTTGTGCTGAAAGACTAAGAATAGTTTCAGGTCTGATCACACAGCGCTGCATGTGGCTGTATCGTTTCCTGTTGACGTGTTTTACAACAGTTCTCTTCGCTTGAGACTGGGACTATATCTATCTATCTAAAGCTGTTGTACTGTCATCCTGGTGCGAAACATATAGTCTCGATCTTAATATCAGTGTCGTGGTGTGTTCCAGCTCTCGGCTGAGATTTGTG